AAAAAAAAAAAAAAAAAAGAGGTATGCATATAAAACAACAGGTTAATGGAGGAAAACAGCCACTATGTAGGACAGACAGGCAGAAGACTAGCAGAGTGCATCCATGAACACCAACTAGCAGTCAGGAGACACAATGAAAACCAGCCTGTTGGAAAAAGAAATCTATGCACAGATTTAGAATAAGATACCTGGCCTGGCAATAGAACTTGTGAAAAAGATCTTGGCATAATAAAATGATTACAAACTGATTATGAGTCAGGAGTGTGATGAAGGCTATAGAAAAAGCAAATGCAGTTTTAGTCAATTTCAAGAGAAATATAGTTTCCAAATCACAAGAAGTAATCACCTCACTTAATTTGTGCCAGTTAGATCAGAGATGATCAGAGGACAAGGAACAAAGCCCCATGAAGAGAGACTGAAAGATCTGAGTAGGTTCCACACTGAGAAGACCATGAGGACATATTCAAGGACTTGAAAAGATGCCACACAGAAAGCCAAGACCTGTTTTCTATCATCCCAAAGAACAAGACAAGAAATAATGGATTTCTATTCAGAGCAAGAGATTTCAGTTGAATATTACCAAAACAGGCAAACAAACCAACCAAGCCAGACATGATTGATTGGGGTGCAAATCTCACCTTTGGTTGGCAAAAAAAGGAACAAGAGCCTAATCAAGATCAATTATTACATAGATCTTTCAGAAATAGTTCATTCTTGATAGGTTCATCCTGAGCCACCATGTTTTCAGGGCCTTACTGAAGGTTGGGACCATCCAAACCTGAGGGGAATAATACTCCATAGAATAGGCAATGCAACAAGCAAGTCATCTCAATGAGGCTCAGTCCCAGGTGTGTATGCATGAAACTGAAGACACAACTAGTCAATAATATATTACCTGACATTCCTGAAAGTCATGTTTTTTAGGCAGTCTCTTGGAGTACTGTGGTAATTTAAACATACTTTCTGTTTTTTTAGGCACATTATCTGGGGTTTCTTTCAATGGATATCGACGTGGCAAAATTTTAACAGGAGAAGCTGAAGGAAACCTATAATTTGACACAGAAAAAGTCAACATTTCAATGTAGTAATTTAATTCAGTTTTAATGAAGTCACTTGAAGAGTGTATCCTTTTACAACCTAGATCTAATAGCCCTATTTGAAGATTAAAAAGCATTTAGAAAAGAGCAAACATTTTCAATACACCAAATAAATAATTTTCATTAAGAAAATAGGCATATCTGTTACTTTTTGGTACTATAGTAGAGATTATTGTGGCATTTTACGGGATATAACACTCTTGGCACAAACAAAGCACCTATTATATTAGGCAACTACATTTGATCTTATGGAACAAATGATTTGAAATTCCATATTCTATTTAAGGGTAAAATGTATTTATGCTTCTGTTACAGCAAACCACAAAATAGGGAAACCAGTCATTTATATTCAATATATCTGATATTTTTACCAGATATTATTTCTGTCAATAATTCTGTAAATTACCTGTACAAGTTATGATTGTCATCCAGATTTTCTGAACCCCATCTTCCTTTTATGTCCTCAATCACATGATTTTTAAGAAATTTCCTTAACAGCTGAACGGTTTGCTGCCTAGTAACTTCTGGACCAAAATTAGAATTATTCCTGAGTAATTCATGAAGCCAGTCGATTGCTTCGGCTGCAGTAAAGCAATTTCCATATTTTTTGAAGTGTTGTCTGTGTTTCTTTTGTGGCATTTGTGCCCGAAAATATTTAGTAACTTCATTCCACTATAAGTCAAGAGAAATGAAATTGCAAACGGAGAGAGAGAAATAAAGTACATATAGTCAAAAAGTACATACAGTGATCTTTATCTTGTCAACCACAATTTTCTGACAAAATAGTAGTTTTAACATATTTGACACTCTTGTGCTGCAACCAAGGCTTTACCAATACAGAGCAAAATCTTCACTTTAGCTCTAAGGTCCGGTGAAACTGTAGAAAAAAATACCCCTTCTTGTTACTACATCAGAGCAAGTTAAAGAGCATTAACGAGCATCTGAGGGTTCATCCACATGACCATTTAGAAATGCTGTAAAACGTGGAATCTCAAGGTGGACAAAATAAACTCGGCTGAATCCTGGTTCTTTAACAGAGATTTGCCTCATCACCATCCAGCGACGCTCCTGTCACTGAACGGTTACAGCCTATACCAACGGGAATTAAAACGTTAACAACACACACACTCGCAGTACCTTCCAGGTTAATCCGTGTATCAGGATGACAGTTTTTAAGCTTTCGTGGACTGCACTGTACAACAAGCAAATGTGTTAATGGTGTATTTGCACGCAAAGACAGGTGCCACAGATACATAAAACGTTGTTTGGATAGAAATAATTAGGGAAGGAAAATCCGGGAAGTCAATCAACTTCAGTGCGATCTCGCCCGCCAGAAAGCCCCCTCCCCGCTTTTTCTTTTCTTTCATTTTTTTACCAGCTTGGTGGCGCGGTAAGGTCCCGGGGAGACCACCCGATTCTCCATTGTCACTACAGCATAGCGCAGCCAACAAGCAGAATGACCAACGAAGACCAGGAAAACGTCCACGCCGAGCAACTGCTGCCTGGCGGTTTGAACTGCGTTCCGCAGTTTCTGATTGGCGGAGTGAGGAGTCGCGTGACCCAGAAGGCGGAAGCCAGGTGCGCGTGCTCGCAGACCGGAGGTGTGACGAACACGGCTTCTCTTCTGCGGGCCGCGGAAGGTGGAAGCAATTCTGGGGGTGGAGGAGAAGTTGTGATTTCTTCACTTCCCTGTGTAATGGGATACATGGGGTGAAATCCTCGGCAGTTTGTAGGCCGACTCGTGGGACGGGTTTAAACCTAGTTACTGTATTCACGTGCCACTCTGAACCACAAAGCAGCCGCTCGTTTTACCTTGGGTGCTTCTCTGCAGCTGGCCGCTATGGTTAGTTGACGATTCAATATGCTGTGGAAGCCCATTCAGTTGGCTAAATAGTGGTTTGGATAACTGAGTGAGCTTGTGCTGCAAACCTAGCCTGAGGGGGCAAGGGGAAAAAAAGTGGCCAGAAATCGCAAAAATTTAAGAGCAACCCCAGAGGCAGTGCAAGGAGTTTTAGCACCTTTGGTGAAGCTGGAACCCTGATTTCCACAACCCCTCATTTACATAAATCTGCATATTCATATTTGCATTCAGGCCTTGAAAAAAGTAAGTGGCATTTTTATACAGGGTGTTAGCAGATTCTAGAGTGCATTGGAGAGGTTGAAGAGTGTCAAGGGAGTGTTGGGCCTCAGGGTTTAGTGACCGTGGTCTAGACATAATGGACTAAACCCTGAAGTCCAGCACTGCCCAATACATACTGGCCATGAAAGTCTACACCAGTATAGTGTCAAGGGACCTTCTGAGCAATTATGGCTCCATAACCACAGCAAGGGATGAGCACTAGTGGGGCAAAAGTCACTAGGGAGAAAATCAACTTTAGCCAGAGTTAAAATGTTGTTCTACAATCTAGCACCCATAGAGACCAAGCCCATTTCTAAATGTAATGCAGTATTCTTAATATATGTGGGAACTGAAAAATAACTCTAATAAACCCATATGAAACAGCTTCAAGGATGTCAACCTTTGTAAAAATACAAGCTTGGACATCACAGAAAACCTGAGAAAGGACCTTGCAAGCTGCAGGGATGAAGTGTGCTCCCTTAGAATGGTAGAATCTAAGGATACCTGAGGAGCTATGCTGAGTAGCACTAGTCAGATAAAAGTGTTTTTTCCAGAACAGTGAGGCCTGAAACAGCACTGCAGGATGTTTATAAATGCATATCTACTTGATTGAAATCCCATAAATCATGAGTTTTATGGCAGTTTTGTGCAAATATTAAACTTGAATTTTCTGAAGGTTTATTACAAGTTTCTCTTCTAGGTAGAAAGAGTCCAATGCCCTCAGTGCCCTTCTCATTTCCACCTGGGAGACAACATGATTACAACATAGTCTGTATATAAAGTCTGCACACCAGTTTGCTAATACTGGTGTGTGTGTGTCTGTGTGTATGAGAGAGAGAGAACGGAGAGAGCTAGATTATTGAATTACTATATACATTAAAAAGAAGGGGGGCTAAAATGTACCCCTACCTCACCCCTTTTTGAGTTTCCTGCCACCAGAGTTTCCTGCATGACAGTACCGCACCACCACCTTTACCTTGAGGCCACAACTGATGCCACACATGAAACACAGGTGGGCATATCTTGAAGAAAAGAGTATCCCTCCTTTGTGCCCTCCACCTCTTCTTTACACATACCAACTTGACCTTCTCTGTAATAAGAACCTGGATGAGGGAGGCCTTATTACAGACTAACCTGCCATTTAGTAGTACAGCTGGAGTCTAGAGCCACTGAGGATCTGATGAGCAGCATTAGGGTGAGCCCAGGGGGCTCAAGGATGAAATTAGTACATGGTATTAAGTGCATCTTCCCCAAGAGCAGCTGGCCCTGTCTCCCACTGAATCTCCCACTGGACCTCCTACTGCCCATCAAAGCTGAGATATTACTATCTGCCCTTTGTCACCTATCAGCCAAACCTCCTATTCTCTGCCATCCCTCCCCCAAGTCCTCGAGCCCTTCTAACTCCAAGATACCTCTGTATACCACACTAGGCCCATCTGCAGACTGTCCTGTCCCAGGCCAGATACCCACATACTCAGGATTAGTTCAAGGAGCTTTACATAGATTTCAGTTAACAGCACGCACAGACCAACAAAGTTCAAATCCTTAAAGATCTCGCCTGGAAAGCATTCCAAATGGGCACAGTCCAAAGTGGGAGGCAGATGTGTAGTCAGGTCACAGTCCAATATTCCAGGAATCGAAACGGCATTATCTGATCTGGGTTCCAAGGAACAGATTTTCCACAGGCAACAGATTCAGAAGGCAAAGGCACAGAGTTTTGGCAAGCAGAGCAGTTTTTCCTAACAGAGAACTGGGCAGTAGTGGCTCTTAAATGGAGCCTCCACCAAGTGCAAATAATCAAGGGCAGGAACGCCCTTGCCATGCAAAAAATCTCATAGAACTCCTCTTTTCTGCTCTGTGTGGAGCCCTACATGCTCTAGGGCTGGGAGGAGGTCCTGAATCCAGCCCCTCATCTTCTGCTACCTCCATCTGCCTTGAATGTTCCTCAATCATGTCAGCCTCGGATGCCTGATTGGTAGGCTCCCCCTGAGGCTGGTATTTGTCTGAGGCATCCTGAGTAGATTCCTCCATCTCAGACTTTTCTGAATCTGAGTGGCCATCACACAGACCACCTCTGAGCTGCTTCTGCATCACCATTCAGCATTCCCTTGACACCTGACAGATTGGCCACCACTCTCCACACTGAAACAGAGCCCATTCTACCACCCCAGTTTGGGACTGATATCAATAAAAGAGAATATGTGTAGCTCAGGGTTGAATTGTGGAGTCCTCGAGCTTGCTTGTTTTCTTGCAAATGTTTTGTTATTGCAAATGTTTTGTTACCCGGCTAGGTAACATCTTCAGTGCTAGAATGGAATGGGGTTTTCTCTCTGTTTATATAGTGGCATGCCCTGCCAGTGTGAGTGTGGGTGTGGGTGTGGGTGT